TATAATGGTATCATTTGCAGTGATTGTGTTCATGATTTTAACTTCTAACCATTTAGAATGTGAATCAATAACAATTAAGAACATTTTGTTCATGAAAGGTCCTGCGAAATCTATATGTATACGTTTCCATGGCTCGATTGGCCAGTCCCAGTTTTGCAAAGGTGCTGTAGCTGGTTGATTTGAATGTTGTGCACAGCTTGAACAAAGCTTTACATATTTTTCAATATCAGCATCCATATGTGGCCACCAGAACCATGATCTTGCTAGACTCTTCATTTTGGAAGAACCAAGATGAGTATCATGTAAAGTTCTTAAAACTTCTTTTTGTAACATTTTGGGGATAATTACTCTTGACCCCCATAGTATACATCCATCTTCTAGACTTAACTCTGTTTTTCTTATTTTATATGGCTTTAAGTCCTCATTCACTGACTCTTCAGGCCAACCATTTTTACAGTACTCATATACTTTTATTAAGCACTCATCTTTTTGTGTTTCTCTTTTAATATCATTCACATTTATATTGGAGTTATCCATGATAGTGAAGAGAACAAATACATCTTCTGGTACATAATTAAGGCTTTGGTTTTTTAAAGGTAATCTACTAAGACTATCTGCACTATTCTCAGATCCAGGTTTGTATTTCAATTCATAATTGTATGCAGTTAGTGTGATAGCCCATCTTTGAATTCTTGGTGAGGCATGCTCAGGTAGGGTTTTGTTTTCTCCAAATAAACCTAGCAATGGTTTATGACCTGTAAAGATGGTGAACTTCCTACCAAACAGAAACTTATGAAATTTCTTAACACCAAAATTGATGCCTAAGCCTTCCCTATCTAACTGAGAATAATTTTTCTCAGCCTGGTTCAAAGATCTACTGGCAAAAGCAATGGGTCTGTCACCCTTCTCATCCATGTGGGACAAGACTGCTCCTACACCATCTGGTGAAGCATCACATGTTAATATAAGTCTTTTCCCTGGGTCATAGTGAGTTAGTAAGGTGTCAGAAGACAAAGCCTCTTTTGCTGTATTAAAAGCAGTATCTTGTTGTTTACCCCAGTGCCAAGTTGCATTTTTCTGTAGCAGCTTGTACAGTGGTGATAGTTTACCAGACAGATTCCCTATGAACTTTGCATAGTAATTTATCAAGCCCAAAAAAGCTCTTAGTTGTTGGGTATTTTCAGGTTTGGGTGCTTCTTTAATGGCTTTTGTTTTCTCAGGTTGAGGTCTGATACCTTGCTTGCTTAATATATAACCAAGAAAACTAATTTCTGTCAGCATGAATTGACATTTATCTTTGTTTATCTTTAAACCTTTTTCATCAACTATTTTCAAGACTTTATCAAGTGTTTTAAGATGTTCAGTGTCATTCTTACCAGTTATGTACACATTGTCAAAGTACACACAAACATTTGGAATATCCTTAAAAATACTGTCCATGACAGCTTGGAAAATTCCAGGGCTGGATGATATGCCAAAACATAGTCTTTCATATTGGTAGAGTCCTTTATGTGTGTTTATTGTCGTATAGACTTTTGAATCTGGATGCAGTTCTAGTTGAGTGTAAGCATGACTAAAGTCTAATTCAGTGAATTTGTCTCCTCCTGCCAAATTCAAAGAAATTTCCTCAATGTTGGGAATAGGGTATCTATTTAGCTCTATTTGCTTATTCAGTGTAGCTTTGTATTCTCCACAAATTCTCACAGAACCATCCTTCTTTAACACTGGCACAATGGGCGTTGCCCAATCGGAATAGTCTACCTTCTTTATGATGCCATTAGATTCCAATCTACTTAGCTCATTTTCTATCTTATTCCTCATTGCATAAGGTGGAACTCTAGCTTTGCAGTATCTTGGATTTGTGTCTTTAATGCTTAACTTCACTGTTCTATCATTTAGTAAACCTGAATTGCCAAAAACACTTTTATTTTCAGATATTACTTTATCTAGTGAAGTAAGACTAGATTCTTTTCCATTGTTCAATGAACATATACTCTCCCAATTTAACTTAAGATCACTTAACCAGTTCCTACCTAGTAATGGTGGTCCATTTCCTTCAACCACAAGAAGAGGAAGTTTAACACTTTGACCATTATAACTTACATGAACCATACACTCTCCTATTACCGGAACATTGTCACCAGTGTATGTTGTTAGACACTTGTGACATGGCTGTAGAGGCACTGATCCTCCTGTGACAGCGTCAAAATCTTTCTTTGTTATGACTGTTAGAGATGCTCCAGTGTCAAGTTGGAAGCTGATGCTCTTACCGTTGATATTAACTAGTACATTGATGGGAGCATGACTTATTGATTTCACAGAGAACAGGTTGAAATCCGGCTGCGAATCAGTTTGAGCATTTTCACAGGTAGAGTGGTTCATTGGTTGGGTTAGGTAGTCTTGGTGAGAGTTAACATAGTGCTGCCTTTGGTTGCGGTACTGTCTTGACTGGCTAGATTTAGCAACAGACGAAGACTTTGCAAAGCAGGCCTTGGCAATGTGACCTTGCTTACCGCACTTATAACAAGTTGCAGACTTGAACTTGCACCGATGAGATGCATGGGGACCTTTGCATCGATGACATTTTTGATAATTATTACTAGATTTAGATCTAGGATTTGAACGTGCAGGCTGTTTAGCATAAGTTGAAATGCTCTGATGGGGTTGGTGTTTGTTGACTAACCTGCTGTTTACTGCATGGATCCCTGAAGGCGTAAGAGATTTCGCCGCATCTGATGACTGCTGGAATGAAGTTGCAAGTTGTATTGCTTTTTCTAATGTGAGATCTGACTCGAGCAGCAACTTTCTTTGAATATCAGGGCTGTTTACACCTGTCACAAACTTTTCACATAGTCTGTCAGACAGCGTATCTCCAAATTCACAAAATTTACTTAAATGACGTAAAGCAGCAACATATTCTAATATTGACTCGTTTGGTTGACGAGTCCTACTGTCAAATCTAGCTCTACATAGAAACTTTGATGGGGTAGGCGCATGGTGGTCTGTTAGCAATTTGCTCAGCTCGTTAAAGCTCTTGGTAGTTAGACTAGCTGGTGCGCATAAGTCCTTTAATAGCCTAAATTGTTGAGGCCCTATGACTGTTAACAAAACAGCTCTCTTTTTGGCTTCTATCGTCACGTTGTTTGCTTCAAGGTAAAAGCTTAACCTATCTAGGTAATCCTGAATGATTTCATCATTCGAATCAAATTCTTTTATTTGGCCATACAGCGCCATTATCCTAGAAATACTTAGCCAATATGCTCTAGCAAACCTCTTTTTTGCGTAAGTAGGTGCTCTTTCTAGTGGATTATTTATCCTTCGTCGCCAATGTGATAGATTGGAATCACTGACGAGAAGCCGCTTTGATTGTTAACAGTAGTTTATTCACACCTTGAGGCAAGAGAGAGAGAGAGAGGCGGAAGTGACGAGACACTAATTACAAAACATGTAAGGGACATCACTCAAGATAACAATATAAATATAATACTAATACAGAAGAGTGAGTTCCCCTGACCTCACAAATCCCAATATGTTACAATATACTCTCCCAATTTAACTTAAGATCAACTAACCAGTTCCTACCTAGTAATGGTGGTCCATTTCCTTCAACCACAAGAAGAGGAAGTTTAACACTTTGACCATTATAACTTACATGAACCATACACTCTCCTATTACCGGAACATTGTCACCAGTGTATGTTGTTAGACACTTGTGACATGGTTGTAGAGGCACTGATCCTCCTGTTACAGCGTCAAAGTCCTTCTTTGTGATGACTATTAGAGATGCTCCAGTGTCAAGTTGGAAGCTGATGCTCTTACCGTTGATATAAACTAGTACATTGATGGGAGCATGACTTATTGATTTCACAGAGAACAGGTTGAAATCCGGCTGCGAATCAGTTTGAGCATTTTTACAGGTAGAGTGGTTCATTGGTTGGGTTAGGTAGTCTTGGTGAGAGTTAACATAGTGCTGCCTTTGGTTGCGGTACTGTCTTGACTGGCTAGATTTAGCAACAGACGAAGACTTTGCAAAGCAGGCCTTGGCAATGTGACCTTGCTTACTGCACTTATAACAAGTTGCAGACTTGAACTTGCACCGATGAGATGCATGGGGACCTTTGCATCGATGACATTTTTGATAATTATTACTAGATTTAGATCTAGGATTTGAACGAGCAGGCTGTTTAGCATAAGTTGGAATGCTCTGATGGGGTTGGTGTTTATTGACTAACCTGCTGTTTACTGCATGGATCTCTGAAGGTGCTAGAGATCTCGCCGCATCGGATGACTGCTGGAATGAAGTTGCAAGTTGTATTGCTTTTTCTAATGTTAGATCTGACTCGAGAAGCAACTTTCTTTGAATATCAGGGCTGTTTACACCTGTCACAAACTTTTCACATAGTCTGTCAGACAGCGTGTCTCCGAATTCACAAAATTCACTTAAATGACGTAAAGCAGCAACATATTCTGATATTGACTCGTTTGGTTGACGAGTCCTACCGTCAAGTCTAGCTCTACATAGAAACTTTGATGGGGTCGGCGCATGGTGGTCTGTTAGCAATTTGCTCAGCTCGTTAAAGCTCTTGGTAGTTAGACTAGCTGGTGCGCATAAGTCCTTTAATAGCCTAAATTGTTGAGGCCCTATGACTGTTAACAAAACAGCTCTCTTTTTGGCTTCTATCGTCACGTTTTTTGCTTCAAGGTAAAAGCTTAACCTATCTAGGTAATCATGAATGCTTTCATCATTCCAATCAAATTCTTTTATTTGGCCATACAGCGCCATTATTCTAGAAATACTTAGCCAATATGCTCTAGCAAACCTCTTTTTTTGCGTAAGTAGGTGCTCTTTCTAGTGGATTATTTATCCTCGTCGCCAGATATAATAGATTAGGTATTCAACAACGGAGACAGAAGCCATCAGCATGTGTTGGGTTCTAGAATCTAGGGGTATATAAATAACAGACAAATACGACGTATACAACAATAACACTAACACTCTATAATAACAATAATAATAAGATATTTAATAATATATACAGTACTAAAATAATAAAAGGATCAAAAGGGGTCTACAACATAAATACAATACTCAACACCACGTTCCACGTTCCACGTCCACAGCCACACTACAACTAACTGATTCACACACTGGCACACGCTCTGACACCCGTCACCTGACACACCTCACGTGAACACCTCTCGCTCCATGTAAACACACTCAACCAAGGGATACAACTATACACCAAAGGGAGGGTACCTGTCGTTCCAGCACGCAACACACACACACACACACAAGCAGGGGACATGTAAGGGACGTAACATCCCTCCCCTCCACCTTCAGATCTCTTTTTCTTCAAAGAGATCAAATATTTCTTGTTCCATTAGCCACTGTTGGTGCCCGAGCTTGACTATTTATTCTTTAGTCCTTAGGAAGCCTCGTTTTGACCGTGTGGCGTGTATCCAGCCTGGACAGTTTGATCCAGAGTGTGGCTTGTATCCAGCCTGGACAGTTTGGTCCAGAGTGTGGCGTGTATCCAGCCTGGATAGTTTGGTCCAGATTGTGGCTCGCATCCAGCTTGAACAATTCGGTCCTGAGAGTGGACTATGGTTTTTCTCCGGCCGGGCACCAAGCTCGTGGTCTGACTATCTCAACCTATAAAGATACATGTGAGAAGCCGCAATAAAAAAATTGATCAGCATAATCATTCTATACTGCATCAGTAATACCTTTCTCAAACATTTCTCAATATAATCATATTATAATGCCCCAATAGTAAATTCCTTAACATAATCATACTATCTCCAACAATAATAAATTTCTCAATATCATATACACTAGTTGTCGTAAAACACTCTTGATAGATTGCTACAAAGTTCTCAGTTCCCTTGATATGTTTCCCAGTACAGGCTAATTCCTGTAGTGCAAGGGCCCATCGGTAGATGCGTACGTCGCCATAGATGGTCATCTTTCCTTAAAGGCGATCAAACTGAGTTCCCTTCTCGATAGCCGTTTTAACTACATTAATCATCTCCAGCCCGTAATCATCATACACAGCTTCTGTAAAAAAAAAGCAAAGAAAAATTAACATTGATTGAATAAATTATCTTAACAAAAAACTTACCAAGGACACTACCTTTGTAAGGATACGCCTCCAAATTTCGTGCTTTACCTCACTCTCATATGAGAGTCTTTAAGCAGGGAAACATTTCCTAACATATCACGCTGAGCTGTGGGACACACCCGTGATATGTGACCAACATCACCGGAGCAATAACACTTGAGATCATCTGACCGTCGATGTACATTTTCAGTACGCCAGTTGCACGCTCTACTGGTCCCATTGGGACAGTTTCGTTGTAAGTGGCCTGGCTTTCTACAGCTATAACAGGCGCCTGTATCTATATCCATACTGCACTCTTTGGCAATATGACCTTGTTCATTGCACTTGTAGCACCGATAAGGTCTTTTGTTGTTTCCATACATCACAACAGCTCTTTTATCTGACCTGTTTCTCCAAGGAAAACCGCTATTACTATTGCTATGACAATCCCTGGCATAGTGTCCATAACGTCCACATGTGAAACATTTACTGCTCAGGCTGACCTTCCTATCACCATGCATAGGCTGTACACCAGGGCAAGTGTGGTGTCCTGGAGATCGCGGTGTCGTGTTTAGCCAGGGTATCGTCTCTGCTGTCGAACTAGCAGCGACGTACGGAGGGGTTTGGTTTACTGGCCTCGTCACTCTAGCGTTTTGAGTGCTCTTATAGTTGTCAATAACTTTAAGATTATCTTCCACACTTACCTTGGCAGCACCATTCAGCCTCTCCAACAGATCACAAGTAACAACCGATTTTATCCGATCAACTATCAAAAGGTTCATCAAGTCCTCAAACGTTTCCTTTATTCCCGACTGCTGGACCCACGCTCTCAAAGCGGCTTCTGTGTTGACTGCGAAGCTTCTCATATCGTCGTGTGTTGGTACTAGCTGGTGGAATCTGACCCTATACTTTTCCTCGTTGAAACCTGCGTGCGTCAATAACTTTACCTTTACTGACTCGAAGTCATGATGCAAGTTCAGTCCCGTCTCAACGAGGAAAGTCTTCAGTTGTCCACTCATCTTGTCCGTCAGAAGGAGCGACCAGTCCTTGGGGTCAATGCCTTGTCTCTTTGCTTGACTCTCAAAATGCCTCACGTACGCACCCAGGTCCTCGTCTACCGTCATCGCCGCCACGTCCCTCAAGCGGGGTACAGGGTTACATACCTTTGCTACAACCTCGACCTTCGCATCTTCTACCCTCCTCAACTCTTCCTTTACCCACTCCGCCAAACTGTCATCGGTCAGCCCGATTAGCTTTCCCTCCTCCTTCAAGTCACTTATTAACTGTCTTCTGGCACTCCTGGTAGTCGCCATGCTAAAACGGACGAGCCCCCAAATGTTGGGTTCTAGAATCTAGGGGTATATAAATAACAGACAAATACGACGTATACAACAATAACACTAACACTCTATAATAACAATAATAATAAGATATTTAATAATATATACAGTACTAAAATAATAAAAGGATCAAAAGGGGTCTACAACATAAATACAATACTCAACACCACGTTCCACGTTCCACGTCCACAGCCACACTACAACTAACTGATTCACACACTGGCACACGCTCTGACACCCGTCACCTGACACACCTCACGTGAACACCTCTCGCTCCATGTAAACACACTCAACCAAGGGATACAACTATACACCAAAGGGAGGGTACCTGTCGTTCCAGCACGCAACACACACACACACACACAAGCAGGGGACATGTAAGGGACGTAACAGCATGTAGCCATCTTTATTTGTTAACCGGAAGAGGAACAATGATAGATAAATACAAGGGACATCACTCAACAACAACATTATAAATATAACTAATACAAGAAGAGTGAGTTCCCCTGACCTCACAAATCCCAATATGTTACATATTCCTTTAGAGATATAGTAATAAACCCTACCCCTTTCCATGTATATCATTATCAGTTGTAGTTCTTCATTTCTTCATTAACAACACTACTATTAATAACGTGGGTAATGTGACATTCTTACCTTCTAATATACAATGAACTCTGGTATCTCGCATATATTGCTGTACGGGGTAGTCCTTCAAATAACCATAGCCACCAAAAATTTGCATTGCATCATTACAAATCTGAAATTAGAAGTATTTTGACTGGTAAATTTGCAACTACAGATGCTACATTTAGTTTTAATGACAGAAAGCACACAAGTTGACCCAACCAATGGAAATCAACCACATGGAAGTTAAAAATCCTTGTTTCCTAAAATGCATTAGTCTTGGTTGCAACCATAATTTGTTTTTTGTGAGCTTTAGAAGACCAATCAAAGTTTGCAATAAATGTTTATTTTTTCAAAGATAAATCACAAGTAAAATATTACTTGGTGTGTCAGTTTATAGGAATTTTGATATCTGTTTTAAAATTTGTAAAGAAGCAGAAAGTTAACAAATAGGTCAATGCATTTTTAAAAACTTAAGCATACCTTGAAACATTCTTCTGTAGCAAAAAGCTTTGCCATGGAGCACAGTGCTACTGCACTGACATCTTTATTATCTAAAGCTTTAGCAGCGTTTCTAACTATCAACCGTGACGCCACTAGCTGCGTGGCCATTTCGGCTAGACGAAATTGCAAATACTGCAAAAATAAATGATTGGGAAAATTTTACCATCTTAAATTTTGAGAACTGTGTGCTGGTCGATTGTGTTATTAAAACAAATGACTCGCTTCACCAACTATAATCACATGAAAGTAAGTTAAACGCTAACCTGAAAACTGTCCAAAGTCTTGCCAAATTGTTTTCTCACTTTCATATGGTCACGGGCCTTTGATAAAGCTGAGTGGGCTGCACCTAGAGAACTTGATGCTAAAGGTAAACATTTTAATTAATCAGCTACATAAAAACAACTTGCTGATAAAATAATGAATTCAATAATTAAACTTGAAAAAAAAACTTTGATGCTAAAGGTAAATGAGGTGGATTGTAATGACTGACGAGAAGCCGCGTTGGTTGTTAACAGTCTTTATTATGTACAGACGCCATAATGCAAAGAGAGAGGAAGAGAGGGAGCAAGTGGCCAGAGACCACTATATATAGATAACAACATGTAAGGGACATCACTCAAGATAACAATATAAATATAATACTAATACAGAGAGTGAGTTCCCTTGACCTCACAATTATTTCAATCTATTACATCCCTTTACCCTTAGAACACAATAACACATCTCTCAATAGAACAATTGATAGTATCCTAAAATCACCAATTATATTGTAACATGAACACTATGGTAGATTACATCCTTGCAAACAATGCACAATATGCTACAACATAATCAAAATACAAAACAATGATGTCAAAGTCCTTTTGACCTTTAAAATCATAGGTCTAACTTATTTGGGACCTTGATTGTCCTGCTTGACCTTCTCAGTGGCTTTTGATTTGGTGACTCAAGATTCTGACCATCTGGATTCTCTATCTCAGGAGGTCTAGGATTTAAATCATTAACTCCAGAATTTACAATTTCTGACTCCAGACAACTTGGTTCACTCATATCAACAGAACTTGGTTGTGGAACAAACTGAGTTGGTGTGAACTGATCAGACTTGGTGGGATTGACAGATTCACACTTATTATCTGCACAAGTTATTTTTAACTTTATAAGACATAGGTCCTGTACATTGAACAATTTGACCTGGTATCCATTTTTCCTTTTTCCCATAATTTCTTAGATACACATTCTCATTAACACCAAATTCTCTTTCAATGAATGTTTGTCATGATTTAATTTTTTAATTGGCATCTGAAAGTATTATGCTATTATTCAGATCCTTAACTGGCATAGATTTCTTTGATTGATCAATTTCCTCAGGTAATCTGATAGTGCTTTTTCGTAACCAAACATACTGTTTAAAAGTAATATCCTGGACAATATCACTTTGCAACTGTGATCCAGTATTTGAAGTGGGTGTATTCAATGGCAAAAATCTTTGCTCTTTTCTTTTGATGTTACCCTTTTAGTTTCTGTAAGTGCTAATGATGTTAGCAAAGTTGTTTGATGATCACATTCCTTCTTACTAATGTATTCTCTTTAAAACATTTGAAATTGCCATATCACCATAATCATTTATTAAGTTACAAATACTTTGTTTAGGCAACTCTGACTGATAATGGACTGCATCTTCTCCATCTTTTATATTATCTTCACAAAGGGTTTTTATTTCTTATTTAATATGGCCTTAAGTCATCATTCACAGACTCTTCAGGCCAACCATTCATACAGTACTCATATACTTTTATTAAGCACTCATCTTTTTGTGTTTCTCTTTTAATATCATTCACATTTATATTGGAGTTATCCATGATAGTGAAGAGAACAAATACATCTTCTGGTACATAGCTCAGGCTTTGGTTTTTTTTTAAAAGTAATCTACTAAGACTATCTGCACTATTCTCAGATCCAGGTTTGTATTTCAATTCATAATTGTATGCAGTTAGTGTGATAGCCCATCTTTGAATTCCTGGTGAGACATGCTCAGGTAGGGTTTTGTTTTCTCCAAATAAACCTAGCAATGGTTTATGACCTGTAAAGATGGTGAACTTCCTACCAAACAGAAACTTATGAAATTTCTTAACACCAAAAATGATGCCTAAGCCTTCCCTATCTAACTGAGAATAATTTTTCTCAGCCTGGTTCAAAGATCTACTGGCAAAAGCAATGGGTCTGTCACCCTTCTCATCCATGTGGGACAAGACTGCTCCTACACCATCTGGTGAAGCATCACATGTTAATATAAGTCTTTTCCCTGGGTCATAGTGAGTTAGTAAGGTGTCAGCAGACAAAGCCTCTTTTGCTGTATTAAAAGCAGTATCTTGTTGTTTACCCCAGTGCCAAGTTGCATTTTTCTGTAGCAGCTTGTACAGTGGTGATAGTTTACCAGACAGATTTCCTATGAACTTTGCATAGTAATTTATTAAGCCCAAAAAAGCTCTTGGTTGTTGGGTATTTTCAGGTTTGGGTGCTTCTTTAATGGCTTTTGTTTTCTCAGGTTGAGGTCTGATGCCTTGTTTGCTCAATATATAACCAAGAAAACTAATTTCTGTCAGCATGAATTGACATTTATCTTTGTTTATCTTTAAACCTTTTTCACCAACAATTTTCAATACTTTATCAAGTGTTTTAAGATGTTCAGTGTCATTCTTACCAGTTATGTACACATTGTCAAAGTACACACAAACATTTGGAATATCCTTAAAAATACTGTCCATGACAGCTTGGAAAATTCCAGGGCTAGATGATATGCCAAAACATAGTCTTTCATATTGGTAGAGTCCTTTATGTGTGTTTATTGTCGTATAGACTTTTGAATCTGGATGCAGTTCTAGTTGAGTGTAAGCATGACTAAAGTCTAATTCAGTGAATTTGTCTCCTCCTGCCAAATTCAAAGAAATTTCCTCAATGTTAGGAATAGGGTACCTATTTAGCTCTATTTGCTTATTCAGTGTAGTTTTATAATCTCCACAAATTCTTATAGAACCATCCTTCTTTAACACTGGCACAATGGGTGTCGCCCAATCGGAATAGTCTACCTTCTTTATAATGCCATTAGATTCCAATCTACTTAGCTCATTTTCAATTTTATTCCTCACTGCATAAGGTGGAACTCTAGCTTTGCAGTATCTTGGATTTGTATCTTTAATGCTTAACTTCACTGTTCTATCATTTAGTAAACCTGAATTACCAAAAACACATTTATTTTCAGATATAACTTTATCTAGTGAAGTAAGACTAGATTCTTTTACATTCTTCAATGAACAAATACTCTCCCAATTTAACTTAAGATCACTTAACCAGTTCCTACCTAGTAATGGCGGTCCATTTCCTTCAACCACAAGAAGAGGAAGTTTAACACTTTGACCATTATAACTTACATGAACCATACACTCTCCTATTACCGGAACATTGTCACCAGTGTATGTTGTTAGACACTTGTGACATGGCTGTAGAGGCACTGATCCTCCTGTGACAGCGTCAAAATCTTTCTTTGTTATGACTGTTAGAGATGCTCCAGTGTCAAGTTGGAAGCTGATGCTCTTACCGTTGATATTAACTTGTACATTGATGGGAGCATGACTTATTGATTTAACAGAGAACAGGCTGAAATCCGGCTGCGAATCAATTTGAGCATTTTCACAGGTAGAGTGGTTCATTGGTTGGGTTAGGTAGTCTTGGTGAGAGTTAACATAGTGCTGCTTTTGGTTGCGGTACTGTCTTGACTGGCTAGATTTAGCAACAGACGAAGACTTTGCAAAGCAGGCCTTGGCAATGTGACCTTGCTTACTGCACTTATAACAAGTTGCAGATTTGAACTTGCACCGATGAGATGCATGGGGACCTTTGCATCGATGACATTTTTGATAATTATTACTAGATTTAGATCTAGGATTTGAACGAGCAGGCTGTTTAGCATAAGTTGGAATGCTCTGATGGGGTTGATGTTTATTGACTAACCTGCTGTTTACTGCATGGATCTCTGAAGGTGCTAAAGATCTCGCCGCATCTGATGACTGCTGGAATGACATTGCAAGTTGTATTGCTTTTTCCAATTTTAGATCTGACTCGAGCAGCAACTTTCTTTGAATATCAGGGCTGTTTACACCTGTCACAAACTTTTCACATAATCTGTCAGACAGCGTGTCTCCGAATTCACAAAATTCACTTAAATGACGTAAAGCAGCAACATATTCTGATATTGACTCGTTTGGTTGACGAGTCCTACTGTCAAATCTAGCTCTACATAGAAACTTTGATGGGGTAGGCGCATGGTGGTCTGTTAGCAATTTGCTCAGCTCGTTAAAGCTCTTGGTATCTGGACTAGCTGGTGCGCATAAGTCCTTTAGTAGCCTGAATTGTTGAGGCCCTATGACTGTTAACAAAACAGCTCTCTTTTTGGCTTCTATCGTCACGTCGTTAGCTTCTAGGTAAAAGCTTAACCTCTCTAGGTAATCTTGAATGATTTCATCATTCGCATCAAATTCTTTTATTTGGCCATACAGCGCCATAATTCTAGAAATAATTAGCTAATAAGCTCTAGCAAACCTCTTTTTTGCGTAATTAGGTGCTCTTTCTAGTAGATGTTTATCCTTCGTCGCCAAATGAAGTGGATTGTAATGACTGACGAGAAGCCGCGTTGGTTGTTAACAGTCTTTATTATGTACAGACGCCATAATGCAAAGAGAGAGGAAGAGAGGGAGCAAGTGGCCAGAGACCACTATATATAGATAACAACATGTAAGGGACATCACTCAAGATAACAATATAAATATAATACTAATACAGAGAGTGAGTTCCCTTGACCTCACAATTATTTCAATCTATTACAGTAAACACTTTAATTAATTAGCTACATAAAACAAATTGCTGATAAAATTAATTCAATAATTAAGCTTAGAAATAACTTTAACCCTTTGATCCCTGGCCTAATTTCTCCCATTTCCTGAGCTCCCAGGCCCAAACCAAATTTCACTTATCTGTTTCTAACTTTGCACTGATAAAATAATTATATACCGATAATTTTTTTATATACTACAAAAAATATTGACAAAACTAGAGTAACTTACCTATTTACTGTCATTATAATAACAATTATAATCAAATAATATAAATTACCGATTTTTTATTGACAATGTATTTTACGAAATGCAAACACTTTCACCTTTCCCCATAATCTATTTTTAGAATCATAATCCTGCACTAAAAAGACATGTGCATAGTTTTATTCAGTCCGCCGCTAATTATATTTAATAAGACGGTATATCAGCCCCTACGACTACGATGCTAGATAAGCGGGCCGGAAAACTGGCTTTTCGGACATATATGCTTAATTTTGAAGCCGGTTTTCTGGTTTGCCTGGCTCAAAGGGTTAATGCTCAAGATACTGACTTACTTGAGTGCAAAAGAATGATAGAATTTGATACTTAATGAGAAATTGTTGTGTATTGGAAGACAGATTTAAGAACAAATTTAATTACGCCTATCTACTAAGGAAGGTAGTTGTCATCTCACCTACATTTAGCCTTCCTCCATTAAGACCTTTCATAGCAATGTTAAATCCTTGGCCTTCAGCTCCCACCAAATTGCTCTGAGGGACTCGGCAGTCATCAAAAGAGACGATACTAGCAGGGTGCGAGTTCCACCCAACCTTTAAATTTTTAAGAAGATAGGATAACATTTTAAAACATGATCATCCGGTATACTGTTATTATAGTGCAATAGCCTGCTCTAGCTATCAATGGGAGGTTGTGGTAAAGCGCATAATTCATAACCTGAATTATTGCTGACAAGTTAAGGTGGCTGGGCAAAGTCTGAGATACAACCATTCCATAAGCTGATTTGAAAGAAACAAACTCTACTTCATCTACCATAATGATCATAAGGTACATTCTGTTCAATTGAGGGACTGTTTATTATTTATGTTGTGTAACGTGAGGTTGTAAAAATCAATGCTATTTGTGTGTTTAAAGTGGATCACCAAAAATGATGTTAAAAAACAACCTTAGGTTTCTTGAAAGAACCTTGTTTTCAATGGGACTTTATTGATACATTTAAAATATAAAGAGAAACCATTCGTGACATCTTCATGGGAGGCAGATGCTTAGAGGATAAATCAGCAAAATAAGAGCCATGTTAAATTTTTTTAATAAATTGTTAATTTTAGGTAATATTTACTTTCTTTTCTTTCTTGCCAAATGAAAGTCCTTGTGTACCATTCTCTACAAGAATACAAGACACACCTTTGGCACCAAGCTCCCCAGTTCGACACATCACAAGATATATATTGGATCTACCACTACCACTAAAAAATGCCTGCAAAAAATATCATTTACTGAAATGTTAACTTCATTTTTCCAATTCTGTCTAATGTTCAGAAGCAGGAAATGGGCTTGTAAATTGTGAGTAGCTGATAAGAAATTGTAAAGTTGTACAATAAACAAATGAAATGTCTCACAATTAATTGGTTGTCAAAAAAGCAATAGTTTACCTTAGCACCATTTATAATATAATCAGAGCCAACTTTCTTGGCGGAGGTAGTCAAGGAAGCTGCATCACTTCCAGCACCTGTGTGACATTTCTTGTATTAGGCAGAAATAGTGCAAAGTAATTATACATTGTTTACAACTTAAAATGTATTTAAGCTTGTTTATGAACAGTAATCTCTTAAATTTACTTGGCAGAACAGACCCCCCCCCCCCCACACACACACCACACACACAAACAAAGTCTTAATGTCAAAAGATTTTTATTGTAAATATTTATTTAACATTATCCAGTTGTTATACTGTTATACATTTAAGTCCCTCTGCAAGAATGCACACACATAATTGTGGCACCCACCCTCTCTGTAATAATGATACCACTCCTGACCAGATCAAATTAAAGTTTCATGGCAATTAATTTAAAGGTGGCTAAGGATCATTCTCAGTGTATGCTGATGACCCCCATAATAGATGGATTTGAGTTCAGGCATTTAGATTTCCATTCTGGAAAACATACCCGTATTTTTATTTATAAAGTTATATGTGATAAACTTAGTAAAATGATTTTAATAAAATAGCACAGAAACTTGAAGCTTCATTTAAGTACATTTGTGACGCTCCACAACAGTTTGAGTCACTAAACACCGTGGCTAATTTTTGTTTACCTGGTTCAGTAAGACAGTAAGAAGCAAAATGTTCCATTGTGGCTAGTGAAGGTATCCACTTTTTACACAGTTCCTCATTTGCAAATTCATCTATCATCCAGGCACACATACTGTGATAAGAAATTAATTGGAACATTGACAACTGTGAACAAATCTTTCGGAAATTATCTAAATTTAAATTACTATGTGTTAGTACAAATTGATTTTTTATATGTGATAGTTTTGATTAAGTTGTTTCTCAGATAAAATTTTAAAATTATAAGGGTGTTTACGCATCTTACTTGTGTATGCTAATATAAGCTGTAGTGCTGCAGCATCCAGTGGCCAGAGCCTCAAATATAACAGAGGCATCAAGGCGAGTCAGCCCTGTACCTCCATACTTTTCATCACAATAAACAGCGCCAAACCCAAGTGTTGCAGCCTTACGCATTGTATCAACTGGGAAAATTTCCTGAAAATAGTAGATTTTTTTTACTATAAAATAAATTTCCTATCAGCTTAAAAAATTAATTTTAAGTGCTGGAGACAAATGCAAACTATATTTAAATTTTGAAGAGACAGTTTGAATTTTATATATATTAAGTTTCAAATGTGAAGATGCTGGCTATGTGCTGTCATTTTTTAAATTATAAAAGGCATTGCATTTGTGTTTGATTTATTAAAAAACTAAATTGTGTATATAGGCTAACATAAACAAGCCATTTTATAATCATGTTTTAAATGCATAAAGGCTATGTTGATTTCAAAGTTTACAAACCTCTTCATCCCATTTTTGCATGTTGGGGGCAAGCTCATTTTTAGCAAAGTCCAATGCAACCTGTTGTATTTGTTTCTGTTCCTCTTCCAACCCATGAGAAACTTAAAATTTTGTGAAAATATGATAATTAATATACTATTAATAAAAACATACTAAATATGTAAGTCTAAATTTTTTAAAAATTTCATTAAATGCAATAGAGACACTCATTTGTGCAACAATATCCCACCTAAAATGTAACTAAAAAAACTATTGGAAAATAGAAATTTAAAAATGCAGTCAATAAGATTTAGTTAATTATCTAGAAAAAAAAACGCTATCAAAAGTAATGATCATGGTAGGTTCCAGGAGTCCCCATAATCATTAAAATTCTTATTTATTATAAAAACTGAAAATAAATAATTTTCAGTTTTTATAATAAATAAGAATTGAAATTTAATAGCTAATAGCAAAATGTACATACACACACATACACAAGCCTCTCACATCCCCCTCCTCCGTCCCCCCAACAAAAGACTATACTTGAATACTTGCCAATTTTTAACACTTACTATCAACACAGCTGCCTGTTAAAAGAAGTCGTTTTTGGCAGAGTGGAATTTTTTGCAAGTTGTTTATTAATCTCAAAACTACATTGGCTTTTTTAAAAAACATTTTCATTGGCTTTCATTTACTGTGCAGATAATCTGGAATAAATTATTAATTATTAAATGTTAAACTGTAACAATAAAACTATATGTGTGGTGGGCCCTATAATTGTATTGATTTAATTCCTTTTTTATTACTGATAACCCAAAGTTCCCGGGTCAGCCTGGTTGGATGGTAAAGCTTACGACTTCTAACATGAAAGTCTTGAGTTCGAATCCCAGGTTTGAGTATGTAGAACCTCTCTGAGTCCACCGAGCTTTGATGAGAAACTAAGGCGGTTTGGCATTGTGCTGACCACACTATCCCTTTATATGCCAAGGTAATTGAAACAAATGAACTCCACTCACCTGCCCTATGTGTCTTAAGCACGGACAGAAATAGGGTAATGAGATGATGAGGAATCTAAAAATCTAAACCCAATTAAAGTCTGGAAATGCAAGGGCCTATCACAAGCCTAACGAAGTTCTAAGTTATTACTAGGCGTGCCGGCCCTGCAATGATATTTGAGGAAAGTGCTGTTTGTAAACATCATAAGCATCATATACCCTGCACATGTGCTCATTAAGCATCATATACCCTGCACTGTCTGGTGTTTGGGAATTTATAAAGCTTTCAATTAAGACATTCTTAATGTAAAATAAACCGGGAGTGATCTCCCCTAAACTTTCTCGAATATTCTTATATAAAATAACAGGGGATGGGAACTCGGGCTATAGACATGATTTTTAATCCATTTTAAATACTTAAACTTTTATAAATAGAATAAAATCTCGCAGACAAATTAATTGCACACCAAGTGAACGCCAAATAAAAAAGCGCATAATAGTGCGCAATATTATTAGTACTTTTAAAATTTACATTAGTTTTTTGAGAAATCGGAAGTAGCGTAAATTACCACTTCCAGTCAACGGAAATTACTCAAAATTTAACAAAAGGTGGAGAATTAGATCTTTTACTTACATGTCAAATTTCATTTATCTATCTGAAATAGTACTCAAGTTATAGGCTTTTGAAAAATTCAAAGTAGGAAAAGTACCACTTCCGGTTATCGGAAATCGCTCAAAAGTTGATACGGATCTACGATTTTGATAAAATACTTATATATGAAATTTCATCAACCTAGCTGTAACGGTACTCAAGTTATCGTGTTTGCACACGGACAGACAGACAGACACACAGACAGACACACAGACATACGGACAAGATTACAAGACTTTCTCTATACTTCGTATATACGAGAAAGTAAAAAGATGTTTGTTTGATCATAATAGTGGGGATTCAATTAACTTACATGATATGAATGTAGGCTGACTGCTTTAATGTATACCTTTCTGAACAAAATTAGTAATGTGCTTAAATTACCACTATAAAAAAGAAAACTATAAGAGCAACATATTTTTTTCAGAAAGTGGACTTGGTAGGTTTTGCAAGTGGCCTCTTCAAATATCAGTGATAACAGATGGTTTAATTTTCACACCTATTTGAAAATTGTGTAGTATAAATTCAAAGGATCTTTTGTTTTATCCACATGTTATTATCGTTTATTTTTTATGTAATCAAAGAAATGGGGAAATAAAAAGTTGAAATTCCTGATACAGTTATATCCCTTTAAATAGACTTAATTGAGAGGTAAAACTTAATAATTTGTATTGATTTTCACTCCTATTTGAAAACACGCTTAGTATAAATTTTAAATGAATTTTTCTTTTATCTAAAGGTTTTCGATTATTTTTGTGTGTAGTCAAAGAACGGGGGAAATTAAAAGATTAAATTCCTGACGCTGTTACATCCCTTTAATATTTAAAATTGAGGAGTAAAGGCGTTCAATTATTAACCCATTGATAAGACATTTCTGAAAAACTGGTATTTTCCCACGTTTTCTTTAACTTGCTTTCTCTGTTTGTTTATTTGTTTGTCTTTCCAATCAAATCTTGCGATCGAAATTTCTGGCACTTCCCAGTTAGCTAGCGCGCTGAAATTTTCAGGGAAGCTTTCTTTTGGATGACCATAGAATATGCAATTGTTATTATTACTAAATTGATCAATGGAAACATTTTATTGAGCATTTTAGACCGCTATATAATCTATATATATAATTCTCCTCTGCGAGCCATTAGAAAAAAACCAGCGACGCGTAGCTAGCCTCTCTCTTGCCGCGCGCAGTGAAGCGAACGATCCCACTTCGCGACAGGCTTAGGGGCAGATAATTTAGTTTTAACCGACTTTAAAGTTACAGGAGATAACTATTACCACTGGTGGCCAGTTTGGGGGAGACGATATGGTCGAGTGGTTGGGCACACGATTGCTATCCCACTCGACACGGGTTCAAATCTATGTGTTCTAGTCAGTAACGTATTCACACAACGTGTTTTTTACGAGTTGTCTTTTTACGAGTTGTCTTTTTACGAGTTGTCTTCGTTTACCCAAAAAAAAGTGAAAAGATAAAATCGATAGCAAGATTTTAATGCAAACAAACAGACAAAGACTAAAAAGTAGAAAATAATAATCATTAAAAAAGTTTTAAAAAACCCACGTTTTCTGATTGAACTAAAAAGTAGAAAATAAATGCTATACATCACAATAATGCAAGCGATCACTCTACTATAAGCGATCAAAAACGTGGGGCGCCGAAGTAAAAGTTATATTACTATTGATTAGATAATACTATTGTCATTTATTAGGGAGCTTGTAGAGAGTCAACAGTATTAGAAACTTTAAGAAAATCACGGCGCCCCACGTTTTTGATCGCTTATAGTAGAGTGATCGCTTGCATTATTGTGATGTATAGCATTTATTTTCTACTTTTTAGTTCAATCAGAAAACGTGGGTTTTTTTAAAACTTTTTTAATGATTATTATTTCCAGGTGCTTACGTCACCAGAACTATCTCCTTACCAAATAATAACTTTATGTTGCATCTGAAAGTGGTCGATCTAATTCAAGCGCTTTTAAAATGTATACTTTATATAAGGCCGCGGTCACTCTAGGTCAGTTCTCGGTCACTTAAAACTCAATTATTGAAATTACTCTAATTTTCCCAGTAAAAAGAGAGTGAACAGCAAACTTCGACAATCTAATAGATGTAAGAAAGAAACAAACCAAACATCACCCACTTTGCTTTTATAGATATAGATTAGCATTAAATATTTTTATTATGTGGGGACTGTCCATATATAGAATAATTAGAATAGATCTATAGCAGATTTTTACTTATCTCCCCTCCTGCTATCACATACCACTAAAAGCCAGACCCCCCCATCCCCTCACCCCAATGTCAAAACTTGAGTACTGTCAGTGAGTTACAGTAGGCCTATATTAGTACAGTTTCAGTTGTGTAAGTAGTAGATATAGATCTAAGTAAAAGTTAAACTACTGTTAAAGAGACTAACAACTAAAGTTAAAGTAAAGACTAAAGTTACAGTAGTAGATCTAGATCTAGTACTAGTCAGTGGAGTAGGTTACACATCACATTGGTTGCCTGCCACAGTTCATATTGAACTACGTAGCCGAGCCCTTGATTCGTTCTGCTGGAGTTTTTTTTTAAAAGGGATGGCTCAAAATATCAAGTCAAATTAATAATTATGAGGATAATAGCCAGATCTAGATCTATAGCCAGATCTGATATATCTAGGATCAAGTAGATTTAATACTAAGAGTAAAGTCGACCTACGAGTGCTGCTAGATCAACACATCAATATGGGAGATTACTCTCAAAATTATTCTAGATCTAGACTGGACCTCTCTAATATGCATGAGTACGAACCTCCTTGTGATCTACTTTTCCCCTGTGGTCACCTGTCCCTGCTCGTGATCACTAGCGTACTTGTACGTTTTGATCCTATTTTAATAATTGAAATAAACATCTTAGATCTAGTCTTGCAACAAGAAAGATTGAAAACTGAATAAGTAGATCTAGGTCTAGAGATCTACGGGTTTGTTTGATTATTAAAATTATATTTGTATTTTTTTTTATCTCACGGCCTAAGCTCTCGAAGCAATTTACAAAGATGGCGGCGCGGTTTCGTTTTTATTAGCCTATATTAGTAGCGAGGCTCACTAACTTGAAAGCGTCTCTGGTTGCTAACAACAACATGGCGTCCTACACCGGACGCTTAGTTTCGGACATTTTTCTTGTCTGCCCAAGTGACTTTCTAGGAATTCGTTTTTAAAATGTTTACCTCGTGAAAAATGGCGGTTTTTTCACATAATGTAAACAAACTATAAATGGCAGTGCTAAATATTAGGGAGGCTCACTAACTTAAAAGCGTCCTTGGTTGCTAACCAGAACATGGCGTAAGGATCGGACCATGACTTCCGGCGAGTTTTTCGACTTAGTTCCAGAGACCTTCTTAGAATTACTTTTAAAAATGTTTATCACGAGTAAAATGGCGGGTTTTCACGTTATAAAAACATGCTATAGGTGGCAAGGCTAAATAATAAATATGCCAGAAAAGCATTTTCAGAAATTGCTTTGGGGAATGTAGGCTAAATTTAAAGTCGGTGTCATTCAAAATAATATAACTTTTTAAATATAGGGTAAAGGAGGGCGTTAAGAGCCGTGTGGTATTAAGCCCCAATCAACACCCCACCCCCACAAAACCCCCAATAACACTGCTAATCTACTTCTGAGGTAACAACCACTGCTGTTCTTTGATAACAGAGAAGCAGAGGATTCATTTTATGTAATTTATGACCCACTTGGTCCAATAGGGAGAGGATGAGACAGGATTTAATCCCACTGCTCTTTCCCTAAAACTTCTCATCTCCATAAAACCATTTTGTGAACTTTTTTTCCAAATAGACATAACTTGGGAAACTTTACTTTGTAATAAACCGAATGAGTTTTTCAAGCCCATTCTTTGTTCCTGTATTAGAGCATTGGTTGTTGTACATTTTAACACTATTTTTATAGCTATGGCTAAAATAGTTTTATTTTGGTGAATTTTTTTTGCACAGTGATTATTGGTGCCAAAACAAAATGGCCGGTATTTGTCCAATTTTACCATGTTATAAAGTTTTTATCATTATCAGAGTAAAACTTGACTGATCATTACCATAATGGTTTTATTTGTTGGATAATAACTAAATCTACATGAATACATTAATTTTGTCCACTAGCTTGCCTGTTTAGAAAAGTTATAACAGATACTGTTATGTGGCTCTTGAAACCCTAAGTGCAAGTTTCTCATTTATTAGACCACTGAATATGACACTGATATAGGAATAGTTAACACAAAATGTATTAATTGTTAAACAGACTTGTGTCTAAATGATAGAAATACAATTCTAACCTGCTAAAAAGTAAAAATTCAGCCATCTGATGTTAGCAAGGTAATTTTTAAAATGGTACATGTACTTATTACCCCTAAGGGGCAATACAGCCGACTCAGCCCCCACCTGTTTCTAACCAACCATAAAACTTCTAATCTCTTTGTAGGTAACAGGAATAAATGCTCTTAGTTCTCAGCCAATCTGGGGTGGTATGTTATGTAATTTATGACCCTCATGGTCCAGCAGGGAAGTAAACAGACACATTAATACCACTGCTCCCCCCTTACAATTTCTTACCCCCATGATACCCAGCCCCCACCAGTTTCTGTCCGGCCATAAAACTTCATCTCTTTGTAGGTAACATGGATTACAGTTACAGATCTCAGACAATCTGGGGTGGTATGTTATGTAATATATGACCTTCATGGTCTAGCAGGGTGAAGACCAAAGAGGAATCAGTACCACTGCTCTCCCCTCACAATTTCTCACCTCCACGAAAGCCAGACCCCCACCTGTATCTAACCCACCATAAAACTTCATCTCTTTGTAGGTAACATGGACTAAGTTCTTAGATCTCAGCCAACCAGAGATAGCATCTCCTTATGTAATTTATGGCCCTCAAGGTCCAGCAAGGAGAACAAAGGGGAAACCAGTACCACTGCTCTCCCCTCACAATTTCTCACCCCCATGATACCCAGCCCCCACCTGTATCTAACCCACCATAAAACTGATCTCTTTGTAGGTAGCATGGACTTAGTTCTTAGATCTCAGCCAACCAGAGATAGCATCTCCTTATGTAATTTATGGCCCTCAGGGTCCAGCAAGGAGAACAAAGGGGAAACCAGTACAACTGCTCTCCCCTCAACATTTCTCACCTCCATGTCATGTTATGTAATGTATAGCACACATGGCTTATCAGGGGAAAGCATTAAGGCAGATTAGTTAGTACCACCCCTTTTTACATACAAGAATGTTAACTCTGGACAGCTACACACTAGTATACTAGCTACACACTAGGCATACTAATGTGCCTACTGTAAACTACTAGACTTTAGGGCTTAGGCCCTATGTACACCTGCAATTGTATCAATTGTAGACTGGGCCCATTGGGGCCTAGTGATAGCTAGTATCAGTTAAAGTGTGTGTACACAGCATTAACTATTTTGGGGTTAGAAATTAATTATTTTTATTGCGGTGTTAGTCTAAACTAGGAGATAATACTTATTGCCCCATTGCCCGGCTCCTTTCACCCCAAATGCTGATTTGGGGGGTATGACAATAAATGTTCAATTAAACCCATTTAAAGTATATTTAATACACTTTGTTATTATTTTTATATTGTGTAAGATATGTTAGAATAATTTTGCCATATTTTCAATACTAAAAAATTCTTAGATTAGTAGAAATCTTTAAAAATGTACAGGTGCTAAAAAGTGTGGCTCTTAACGCCCTCCTTTACCCTAGATCTCCCTATCACAAAATTGATTTCCCTAGTAAAGCATTATTAGTTTTATCATTCTATGAAAAAATAAATCAAATATCTTCAACCCTTTTTTTAAAGAGTGGCCAAAAAATGACAACCAAATTTTTTTTATTTTTTTGACCACGTGACCGCTATTTGATGATCACTAGTGGGGAACTCTGGGTACATGGCCACTTAAAAAGTCTAACCGCATTTGTGGTTCTCTTTAGCTTCAAGTGCCTTCAGGGGTAAGAAGAGTTGTCATGGAGAGATGTGTTGTCCATGGCAGTGAGTGACAATAAATATTAAATTAAGTAATTTAGTTTAAAACGAACTAAAAACTTCAAAATTAGTCCCTAATGGATTAAATATGGATGTCTATCATTCAGTAGTCATGTTTAATTTGAAATTTGGGTAAATTCTAGATTTAGTAAGAAAAGCTACAAAATATGCCAGAGAAACGCTATAAATTGCTTTGGATAATGAAGACCGAAGCTCAAAAAGTGGTGCCGACAAACATTCGTAGATCTTTTTAAATATTAGCTACTACGATGTAGATCGGAAACCGAAAGTACATCAATATTAGATTTAGCAGTCTGTGTAAAAATAAATCGAATATTACATGCGCTAATTTTTAAAAAAATTCTCCAAAATGGTCACCACCAAAAGTAAAAATTCCATAACCCACGTGACCGCTATTGGGCGGGAGACGTTTGCCTAGGTGGCTCTATTGACTCTTTACTACGTTTGTGTTGTTATTTATGTTGACAAGCGTTAAGTGAATATTTTCCAATTTTGATTTTTACATTGCTGGACAAATTAATTAAGTATTTCGATCTGAACATGGGAAGATAGGAGTTAGTTGGTATTTCTGTAAAAGCCCGTAAACCGGTGATCTCGTGGTGAAACGCGATCTCGATACGTCTAGTAAAGTCTAGGTGCTAAATTATTTACTTGATTTTATTATTACTAATTACGACTTGATCGAATTATAGTTAATATTATTTTCATTTGCTTTCATTTTTTATATAATTGATTATTATGATTTAGATCCAGAAGGACTAGGCTAATAAATTATAATAATCATATTAGAGGACAGCCTGCATAAACAAAAGTTGATCTAGATCTAGTTGACACAGTACTTGGACTTGCGCACACGCTCGCGTGACGAAAGAACGCAAGCGGGCTCGTGACGAATTTGCATAATTTTTCACTCACAAGTGATCAACGTTAATGTGATAGGCGTAGCCTAACAATCTTTAAATAGATCTAGACACCAGCTCTAGATACAAATTTAAGTATTAAAACTCCGCCTGGATATGTCTAGCTTCGGACGGGCGATGTTTCTCTCGTTGACAAAACAACGCGAGCGAGCCGTCACTACGCACAGCCTATGAGTGGCGATGTTTGGAATGCATTTCTCGCTCACATGTGATGAAATTTAATGCAACGGCAGTTTTAAAAATAAAAACAGATATTTTATTATGTCTATATAGATCTACTTTTTTTTAATATTTAAAACTCAGCCTGGACAAAGCTTCCATGCTGGATAAGGGAGGAGGGTTAGATTCCGCCGTTAACTCAATCTATTATTATTAGGCCTAATTGTCCTAATTAAACATTCCTATTTACACTGATTAATCAAGACTGAATAAAAGTGAAAATGAATACCTTTAAAAAGTTTAGATCTATATATTTTTAAACATTTATACGTGATTTTTTTTGGTTCATTCCTTTGGCGTTTACTAGAAATACTGTAAATAGATTACATAACCAAGTTACGAGTATCCTTTCGATTTCGTTTTATTGCAGCATACCTCCACTTCCCCCTCCCCACACATGATCCTTACGAACCTCCTTGGTCGTTTTCAGGTCAACTTTAGGAACCAGATCTTTGAATGGTTGTCATGGAAAAATCTTTCCCAGCTAAGCTGTATGGCACCAATAATTAAAATCATGTATTTTAGTTCAAAATGAGC